GGGTAAAAGAAGATTCAAGCAACATGTTTAATGAAATATCATGGGATCATAAAATCTGGTGATACTGTAAGTGGAATTTCCCTTGGAAATCTGAGTAATGGCCAATAAATCACCCCCCTCTGTATGCTCACTTTTCCTGTTGCCCGAGGTTTTTCGTTGGGCTACAGTGCTGTCGCTGAGGACTTTGATGGAGCAGTGTGGACAGACGGGAGAAACCGCTGGCTGTGCTACAGCGTTTTCCTGGTCCAAGCGAGGAGGACTGGGCGCACGCGCTCTGCTGAAATAGACTGTTAAGAACTTTGTCAAAGAATGAACTCTTCCTGTAACCCACACCTCATTTGTCACCCTGATGGGCTGAGGAAAAGTGACATTTACAAACGGAGAATGAAAGCACATCCATTTCCCCAGCCTGACACCCTGATATAATAACTATTTACCTTGAGAAAGACGCGCTGCGAGTTCCGATTCTTGTGAATCCTCTCAGTTTGGCACTTATTTTCTCACTCTGTCAAACAGCCCCAGATTAATGGAACAATTTGTTCAACAAATCATATTAGGAGAATGCACACGGGGTAAAGAGAGAGAGGTGGGGGAGCAGAAATTTTTTACTCATTCATGGCAGTGGCGTCTCTACAAATAAAAATGTAGTTATGTCTGACATTTACAGAGGGACGATGTGAAGGGGAAGGGTGTAATGACTTCGGGCAGGAGAGAGAGCATTGGGTAAGAATGGCAGTACTCAAAGGGGAATACGATAAAGTTACACATAACATCTAGGCCGAGTTTCCTTCTGGAACGTATTTGTCAAGCAACAGGATCAGCTTGTGTCCAAATGTGAATTGGGGTGGTTCCATTAAAATGAAGCATCCAATACTTTCTATGTTACTAAGGTACCTTCCTTTCCAGCATGTACCCAGGAAGTTTAAGAGAATTCCAGAATCATTGTTTGACAAAAGAGATGATTCACTGATCAAATTGTGGGTACTGGGTGGAGCTTGTGATCATGTTTGGTTAGGGCTCAGCTGCTTAATTCTGATAGCATCCTGTTCATGCTCCTTAGACAAATATAATAAAACAAACAAAAATAATTGGCAAGGATGCTGGGCTTCAGCATTTGTTGGTTCATGCCTCCATGCAAGATGTTTGAATGAATATTTAGACCTAATAAATATCCCTTACCACAAATCATGCTCATTTCAACATTTGCTACCTTTAGTTCCTTTACACACACACAAGCGATCTCATGTTTTCCCCACTAACTTTCGAGTGGCACTGGAAGCTGGTTGTAGGGCTCATTGTGTGTGTGTTACAAATGTCACTCAACTGTTACACCTTGCATCTATGGCAGAAAATTACCCTCACTTGTCCAGTTCCCACGTGCCGTAGTCTTGAGTCCCAAGGTGAAAAATGGTCTCACATTCTTCATGAATGGCTTAGTTTTTCATTGTATTTTATTTTCTCCTTTAGTTCTCCTTTCCTATTTAAGGTTTTTGATCTTTTTTTTTATTTTTAGTAACAAACAGCTCTAGATACAAATCTGGATCATGAAAACCCTCAAAGAATTTGGAAATAATCTCTTTATCTCTTTATGGTATTGGGATTTTCAATTGCTACATGTTGTTCTTTTTTAAAAATAGAAATCTCAGGTTCCTGGTAAAATGTTTTCATGTGAAATCATCTGACCTGTTTGAGTCATTGAGGAATAATGAGACCTCAGGAGAAGATTCATGTCGGACCGTCCTTCAAACGAGCAAAACACCAGGAAACCCCACTGGATACCACTGCTGTGAGAGCCTCCAGGGACAGGACAAACCTACTTTAAATAATTATTCTGTGAGAAACGTTTTGTTCCAGAAAGTTTAGGTCAATCGAAGTGTTTGTTTTGTCCCACTTTCATCCAGCAAATGTTTTATGAAAGAGGATCAAGAATTTGCATTTTGGTCCAGAGAGATGTCTTAGCAAATAAAAGTGCTTGCCACTAAGACTGTACACCAGAATGAGCTGCATCACTAAAACCCATAGAGTTCAAGGAGAGAACCAACTCCCATGCGTGTGCTTGCATGTGCACAGGCACGAACACACACACACACACACACACACACACACACACACTGAATTAATGTGTACTTTAAATTGTTTAAAAGAAAACACTGAAATTTTCTTCTTGGAAAGATTATAATCTAAATAGGAAAACAGTTGCTAAGCCACCTAAGTGATTGTTGCTTGTGAATAGCCATGCATCCATTTATTACAAAGACAATCTATCTATGTTAGAAAACTTGAAATTGGGTTGGGGAGGTACTTCAATCAGTAAAGTAGTTGCCACGCACTACCAGCACCTACAGAAAAGCCAGGCCCAGGAGCCCACTCCTGTAACCCCTGGGCTCCAGAGGTGGAAATAGGATCCCTGGGACAGAGTTCACTGAGAGACCGTCACTTAAAAATTAAAGGGGGAGTCATTAAAGAAGATAGCCCATGCCAGCCCCTCCCCACCCCTCCCCCCCACTCAGAGAACACCTGCAAACACCACACATGTGGCTGTTTAAAGCTCTGAGGTCTTCCATGTTCGAGCCTCAGTATAATCTGAGAGAAAGAAAAGAACATCCACTACTATGAGTTTTTCAGCCGGGGAGGAAATCTATCCACAATTTCTAGATTCACAGCACCAGGAAATGTCCAATAGCCTAGGCAGTTGCACCCTGAGGTGGGGTGCCCCGCTGAAAAGGAGGAACCAGTCAGTAATCCCTGCCACCCATCCTGCCATATCTCCATTGACTTAGCTTTGTTTACATTTCCTCTGTTCCCTCTTCCACTAACCCACTGTGCTTGCTGCTTCCTAATCTGGGGTGGGGTGGGGGGGGTGGGGTTGGACTTTTCAGGCATTTTGCTGTGTCTCTTGAGGCTTCCCTGTAGTCTCCATACCTCCATCTTCTACTCTGAATGGCTACTCTGCCCGACTGAGTTCCCAAAAAAGGAACGGAGATGTTCATTATTTATGTTTGTTTTCGAGACAAGGTTTCTCCAAGTAACCCTGGCTGTCCTTGAACTTGCTTTGTAGACCAGGCTGGCCTTGAACTCAGGGATCCACATGCCTCTGCCTCCTGAGTGCTAGAATTAAAGGTGTGCACCACCACTGCTTGGCTTTTTTTTTTTTTTAACAGTCCATCAATGTGGGTTTTTTTTTTTT